CTGCTGTCATTTTGGCATAGGGGGAGATAATCTGTTCTGGTGGAGGAACCAGCTGCACGGTCCCAATGTATATTCTGCAGCACACTGTTTTGCATTGCAGTTAGGAGAAATGGTCACTGGAGGTATCAAGAAAGGTGGAAGAAGGTCTAGTCAAGAAAAGCTTGGCCAAAGTTGGATAAATTGGTTTTGTGTGATGGGAGGAAGAACATCAACTTGTAAAGAAGAACTGATGTTTAAGATGAAGGGTTGTTGCATCTGGAATCAGCCAGCCTTGGATGATTTTGGAAGTAATTATGAAGTTGAATTGGGGAAGAGCTGGAGAAGGAACAGTAAAGGCAGCAGAGGAATTTGACAACAAACTCTAGAGAAAACACAGTGCCATGAAAGGGGAAGATGCTCGAGCACCTGTTGTGACAGCTGTGACTAAACATACAATGACCAGATCAGGGTGAATAATGAGAGAATCTGCTCATTTAAGAGTGTATATACAAACCCAGCAGGGACATGAAACTGTTTTGCTTTGTTTTACTGATAATGTGTTATTGGAGTCATGTCTCTGACTGTGTCCTAGAGTGGGTTCAAAGCAATTACTTATATAACACAGGATATATTTGAGTCAGGGAGGACTGGGAAGGGAGAAATGTGTGTATCTCAATTTCTGGTTAAGAAGGAAAATGAAATTATGTTTTTCTGAATAGATTTATTGATTTCCATTTTTCTGACACAGGGATATCCATCTCAAGGTCTGGATGCACCTTGCAAAATTCGAACTGCAAAATAATCAGTGAATCAGATTAAATCCTGTATACGTTTCTTTCCAGCTTCTGGTTCTCATCCTAACTTGAACTGCATTATTCTAAAAAGTAAACTCCTTAAGAATAAGCTCAGTACCATCTCCAAAAGTTGGAGCCCACCTCTGGATGGCTCCAGCCTGGTCCATGGTGGCCAGGGCTTTCTACTGACTGGGGCAGACAGGCAGCCCCTGGCACAGCCCCAGTGTGTCATCTTCTTGTAATGCTCTGCTTTAGAGGTAGACAGGCATCTTCCAGATCAGCTGTGGGGTTAAAGAGACTGATTTTGAAGTAGCAAATGCACAGCTCTAGCAAAATTCCATCTATATGTGAAAGAAAATTGCATTTGCTGCTCACTTACAGAGCAGGGTAATATGCAGGACAACATCAGGAAAAAATAAAAAGAAAAATAAAACTCGACCAAGCAGTTCTTTGGGAACTGAGAAATAGCACGATCCAATGCAACTGCCCACATTGCAAACCCGATTCACAAATAATGGCATTCTATGCAAGAATGACCACTGCTACTTTAATTTAAAATGAAAACCATATTGAGAAACTTTGAATACGAAGACAAGATTTGTGGAATGTAAATACCTGGTGGGTGCAACCAACCAGCACAAAATATATTTATAAGGAGCTGGAGCTCAGTCCCAACTAGAGTGCGCTGTGCTTACAGATCATCATGTACAAGGAATAAATTACGGCAGGGTTTGTCAACTAATTTGGTGGAGGTATGAATTCTTTATCTATTAATCAATCTAAGGAAGCATGAAGCACCTATAAACCATTCATCTCACTTTAGCTTCTTGTTTAAATTTAATTAGTGTTGTTCTGATTTGATTGTAAAAAATGGAGGCACCTTTGAATATAGAGGTGTCAGATGGAGTATCTTGGATAGCACTTACTGATATGAGATCCTCTGGGCAATGGGTCAAGTAGTTTGGACTTTTTTCCAGAATGAACAACCATAAAAATTACTTACAGGGTAAGGCCACTCACTCACAAGTGAATAAAAAAGATGCTCATGGTGCTAGCACCTAGCCAACGTGAATGAAGTTTGTAACAGTATCAATTAGTTCATTTCTCTCTGGTGCCTGCAGCAGTTTTCCCCTCTTTCATCACTTTCTCCATTCCTTTGTTGTTATATATATGTACAAGGATAGTATTTAATAAGGAAACTTAATTTCTTCACTTTTTGTCCTTATCCTAACTTTTTCTACTGCTGTCAGTGTTAAAAGTTTCATTAACTGCAGTAGGAACAGAGTCAGATCAATGCTCTTTTTTTTTTTTTTAAATCCTTCACAAATTTGTTTACATTTTTTCCCCATAACTTCTATGGGTATTATAGAAAAGACTGTAACACCTATACATAGTTATAGTATGTTTTATACTGCCTAGGTTGTATGTGGTACGGATAGTTGCAACTGCAGGCTTAGAAAGCCCCAGTAGGTCACTTGCATTTAATTTCATTTTAGTTTGACTTTAAATAAGTGACATTTGTTTCGTGGGTTTGTTTGGTTTTGTTTGTTTTTGTTTTTTGTTTTTTTGTTTTTTTTTAATAAAAGAATTCTTTAAAATGCTTTTATAAAATGAAAAGTCATTGTTAAGCCTTAGAGTCCTACATACAAGACTTAAAAACTGCAGCTTCACTAAAAACATGTACTAAATGTGATATACATTGATGCATGCTTATTATGGATAAATATTGTTCTCTAGGTGGTGCCTAGAAATTTTCATTAATTTCAGATATGTCTTATTTTAGTCCATGTATGCAGATTTCAAATCTGTGCCTTTGCTGATTTTGACACTGTGCAATGATGTATCTGAGCTTTCAGATGTCTGGCTCTTAGAGTTGTGAAATAATAAAACAAACAAACCCAACCATTTCAGCCTTGTCAATCTAGTTCTCAGTGGACAGATGCCCTGGTGCTAGAAAAGCACCATCCTATGCAATACCTCTTGGCAGTGTCTAAAAAAAGCCAGAGATCTTCTAGATGCACAAGTAAGACTAGCTTCTCATCTCAAAAGAAATTGTGTTTAAGGATACGCTGAAGCTCCTGGGTAAGGCTGCATGGGAAAGCATACACAACCTCTGCGTGCTGGGCCTCCTTTGTGCATGAGTAAGTGATTTCTGGTCTCTCAGATAATCAATCCAATCTGCTTCTGGAGCAAGTTGCCCCCGGATAGGGATGGATTAATGGGTGAATGTCCAGGTTTGTGCATTGAGGTTTCTTGAATGAGCTAGGTTCATTGTTAGAGTTTGTGGATTGCATCATTAGTTAATTAAATGGTATTGTTAATTGTGGATTTAAATGTTTTATTGGATGCTTATCCAGTGGGAATTGACTAAACTTTCTAAGAAAGTGGGAGGCTTTGGGTTTGTGTTGTCACACCAGCAGGGACAGCCCTGCCCTGCCATGATTTGGCCATAGCTCTGCACCTTGGAGGACACTGCTGGAGGTCCAGCTCCAGCACAGTTCTCTTGAGCAGAGCAGGGGAGGAGGATGAGGCTTCAGGGGGGCCTCCTGCCCATGTAATCTGTCAGGTTCAGCTGAACACCTGGGGACGTGCAGTCTTGGTGGGGCACAGCTCCAACACAGCAGTGCCTGGTGAGGCAGTACCTGCCATGGTGCACAAAACCATCCTGAAAGTCTTGCAAGATGGCTTTAAAAACATGCAGAACCCACTGAATTTATCATACGGAAAACTGGCTACGACTGAGAAAGATGGTGAATTGGTTTGGTACAGATGAGGTTTTCTTTTTGGCTAACGATTTGTTTTTAATGTCACACATGGTATCATGAGAAGTTGCAGCATTCGGGCATTTTTAATGAATTTGTATTGCTTGCATATTAGTAGGAATATTTCCACTGCAGCAAACACCATAAACAGCCTCCACACTAGGGTATGTTATACTGCCACCAGAATTGGTTCTTCTGATGGTTCATTTCTTTTATGCTGAGAATTCAGGACCAATTCAGCTTGGTTTTATGCATCATTAGAGATTTACAATTACTTTGCTATAGTTTCTTTCTGGAAGCCTGTCTCTCATGGTTAATGCTATGGGAGCCCTGTTGTGTAGAGGCTGGTATTAGCCACCTTATAGCAATAAAGCGTTTGAGAAGGATTTAGAATTATGAGTGGCTAAATTCTCCATGCAACAACTGTAATATTGTTATCCCTTGCTGAGCTTGAGTTGAAACATTTTTTTTTCTTCTCCTCAAATTATAAAAAAATGCTGTTTCTTCAAGAGGTTTTGAATCATTTACATGTAATTTTTTGTTGAACTGCAGCAGTCAGAAATGAGGAATTGTGAGAAATTCCATTTGGATTTCATGATGCTTAAAATACATTTAGATTGTATTAGTATATAATGAAAAGAAGGCCTCCTCATTTTTTATCTCACTTTTAAAAAGTGTAGTCATTATTTGGAACTTTCTTTTGATTTTTAGATTTTACGTGTGTTGCTAAAGTCAATAAATTTCACAAGCTTTGCCTTTGGACAATAAGTAGTGGATCTGCATGTGCTATGATCCACATAATTCAGGTTTCACATAAATACACTATTGCACTGAAACAAACTTGATATGCAGTGAATAATATGGGCCCGATCTAAAGGCCATTAAAATCAATGAAAAGATTTCAAATTAACTTTTATAGCCTTTAGATCAGGCTCTAAATGGGCAAATTACAGTTATGGAGTTTCCCATTTACATACCTGTGTGCTGCATTTAATATATTTTATGGAATTGAAATTACTTGGTACTCTTTTTCATGCTTTTTTTAGGATAAGAATTTGCCAAGGGCATCAACAGCAGTTTTCCTAGGCTTCAGCACAAGGATTATATAGTCAATCCACAAATGACTCAAATCTTTGAAAAAAATGGACATGGTTATCAGAGAGGCTTTGACGACAGCAAGGACAGCAGCGCTATCTGGTTTATTCCATCAGAGATTCTCATTCCCTCTCATTAACATACTCAGGACATCAGCACTAGCCACTAGTCCCAGGAGAATTGCATAAAACTTTTAAGCAAATATGCACAAAACCTCACCACTGCATTATTTTAAATAGATCAAACCAGATTTGTCTTGTGTGAGGCTAGAAGAAAGGCTAGGGCATGGTAGCATTAAGGGAGAGATACAAAGGTTGCAGAGAATTTTAAAATCCATTGTTATAACTTGGTAATCTTTCTTCTTTTACAGGGTTCTCCAATCCCACCGAGGATGCACAGAGCTGATCTTTAAACTGTGATATCTGCTGCTGCTGTAAGTGTGAAAAAGAGATGCCCCTACCTGCTCCTTCTCAGTGCCCTGTAATGAAAAACACTTTTGGAGCAACACTGGAAATAAGCCATCAAAATATCTGATTAAACCTCTTAGGAAACTGTCACTAATCACCTTTGCTCTTGATGGAATATATTTATGCATTATAAATATACTTGCTATGTGTGTGTGCTTCATAAATCACATTCAGCACTTGTATATGATGTATAAGCATATTCTATAGAATACACACAAATACAGATGCCAAACTCCCACAGAGTTCATCACTGGAAAATGTTTGAAGGATCTGATCCTTAATATTTAATGAGCAAGATGCTATTTCCTTCCTCAGCTTTTATCTCTGGTTTGGCATAGTCATTAAATTTGTTGTTTCCTTGCAAGATTATATAATTTATGACCTAATTTTAGACTTTTGTGTAACTGCTCTAAAATACTTGTGGCATATCTGGATTTCTTTGTACAGGGTGTTTCAGTATTAGACACCAGCTAGAACATGACTGCTCAGCCATGAGCTTCCCATCAGTAAGGAGTTACAAGCATTAAAGGAAAACAGGCCAACAATATTCAGATAGAATTACAAGATTAGATTGTGGGTTTGGTTTTTTTCCTGTAAAAATATGATTTAGCAGCATTTCCAAAGCCCGCCGTGTGCAGTGGTTGGCAGGAATCCCCAAGTAATACAGTAATCACCCAGAAACTCCTATTAAAATATTTTATTGTAGCAGCTTCTGACTTTCAGACAGCTCTGGTACAAAGTCATGCAACCTTCATTGCAGAGAGGGATGTACAGAGCTGGGAAAGCAGGTGAAGAATGACAGTGCTTTAAAGTGACTATCAGTCCCCTCACCCTTTGGAAGAAAGCATTTGCTCTGCAGCACCAGGCTGGCGGGGGTGATTTTTTGCTGCAGATGGTGTTGCCAGATAACTCCTAAATGAATTACACTAAAGCTGAAGCTACATTTTTTTGTGCCTTCTGTATGTCCAGGGTAATTCAGCGGTGTCATAAATAGTGCCATGAGTTTCAGGTATTTTGTCAATTTAAACCATATTGTTTGGACCAGTCTTTCATCAAATTTAATATATTGGCTATTGAATTAATGCGTTTTGAGAGCACTTTGTTCTGGTGTTTAAGACGGAAGTGGCTCATGGTTGAGGACAAGGCTAGATGCTTGCTTTGTGGCCACAGCACAGTTATGAGGTTTTTTTTCCTCTTTTTCTACCTTACCCCAAGGTATCTACCACAGATTCCAGAGGTGGCATGCTGCATCCTCAGAACAGCACCCTGAGTGATAGGGACCACATAACTGCAGCTCAATACATCCCTCTGACATGGCAACTTAATGCAGCATATGGCTGAGGTGGGTGCCTACACGAAAGAAAAATAATCCTTATGAAAAGGTGACATTATTTCTTGGAATAAGAAAGATTGGCGAGTGTATCTTCTTGGCTTTAATGGAGCAGTTCCAGGAAAGCAACAGCGACCAAAGTGGTTTCAGTATCACATAATTCAAGAATAAAATCATAATTCCAATTACCATTTCAGCCGTTTCTGGCCTTGGGAAACCTATGCTAATATTTATTATTGTATGATTGACCTACGATTTCTTCATCATTTACATTAGCAACTATGATATTCATAGTAACATCCTTTAAATCATATAAGCAGATGTCAACAGTGCATGATGAAGTCACATCCTGCAGATTTTTTGTTTATTTGGTCCATTTTTTTCCTGGTAAAGTAACATTGTGAGATGCATAATCTCACCTCCACAAGGCCTCTAGGGGCATATATAATCACAGAATGCATTTTCTATAATCTCACAAAATGAGTCAATTCTATCTAAGGTACAAAGTTATACAAAGTCAGTATTTCACTTCCATCACTGCCTGACATCATCTTCTACACAGTGCAAGAAAATATTTACTTCGCTCTTTGACATGAATTGCCACAAAGCCTCTGGAACAAAAAGTTGAGGAAAACGAGGAATTAAAATGGAATAACTTGCTTTAAGTAATCTAGCCCCTTTTCTGGGTGCAGGATTTAGATTTGTAACATTGTCAGATGCTTTCTTGGAATGTCCAGACTGGCCATAGACAACTATGATGTCTGTTCTTCAGTGAAATGCCTACACACAAATCAGAGAGTTGCGCAGAATATTCAAAGCTGGGAGCTGGTCCTCGTTTTTCAGCATCTATATATTTTCTTTGCCCAAGTGAGCATTTGTCTGTGTGAATTAAGCTACTGCATTTATTTTCCAGACAGCTTCCTGAGGTGTTGTTTCTTATGCTTTTCCATGCAAAGCACTGCAGAGCAGGCAATTCTTGACAATAATCTCCCTGAAAACAGTTTATTGTTCCATATGGGTGTTAGCAGTTGTAATTCTTATTAGCTCTAAAATCGCTTTTTACCCTTTCTGCCCATCCTGTCACAGGAGAGGGCACCAACAGGCTCCTTTGGTGTCTGAGTGGTGAATTCCCAGTCCAGTCCTGATATGCAGCTGGAGAGGACAGCTGCTTCTGCACCATGCAGTTGAGGTGTCAAGGGCAGCCTGGGGCTTCTTACCACCTTCAAGTAGAGTTGATATAACTGTATTTATCCACAGAGAGACAGTAAATTTTTTTTTAGATCATTCTGGTGATGTACCAAAAAGCTTTAGTTCTCCATTTTTCTCCCGTACCCACTACTCACCTCTCTGCTTCAATCTGGCTCCCATTTGTTCACCTCCAGAGAGCACAGACAGCTGCTTTTCAGCATCTCCTCGGGAAATGGGCCACATCTCAGAGCTCAGGAAAGCGACACCCATCAGTGCTGGCTGGAGAGAGCTGTCTTTGCATCTCTCATCCACCGCTTTTTCACTGAACTTAAATTCTTCTAAACTTACATTGCCTTAAAGGGTTTACCTGGCTCAACAGGTGCCGGGTTTAGGCTGTTTCAGATAGTTTTTAGGTCATTTTGGACGAATCTTTAAGGCCTGAAGGCCTTATACAGGTTGTCAGGCAGGTGGACCCTTTTCTACTCTCTGAGCATGTAGCCCTGAAAAATCCCTCTCATTTCTAGATGTAAGGTGAGGTAAAAAGGTCAGAATAGACCTAGATCATATTTCTGAAGATTGGCAGTGTATAATAATTATTAACAGTTTCTGTAATGGTGCAGGTTACAGACACAGGACCAAACACCTGCAGTGAACCTCCTCAGGCAAAATTCTCCTCAGCTTCAATCATTTTTTTCTGGAGAAGAGACCGCTGGCTGCGCTCAGGGCGATCCTCCTGTTCCTGGCTTAAGAGGCACTTATAGTCTATTGCTAAGAGACTTATTAGCAATGTAAAAATGAATTTGAAGAAAGAGAAGTATTCTTCCTAGAAGAAATACATATTTTGTAAAATTAGTTTTGCTGACAGAAATAAGTGGGCTAACTCCTTGTGACTATGGTTGTTATTTGTTGCCCCTTATCTTACCAAAGCAAAGGGTACTAAACACTTCAAACTTTGTAAATAATTGTTTCCAAAGTGTTTTGGTTTTAATTTCTATAAATTCTTTAGAGAAAAGCTGGCTTCTAATCCTTTATCTTCCAAAGCTTTTACAGTCCAGCTTCTCCCCACTCTAGATATCTTTTATTTTCCCTTTTTAGGTTTCAATATTTCTTAGATATTACAAAGGTAGCTTTTAAGGGTAAATCTAGAGCTTTTGCTCAGATAGGAAAAGTCATTCCCAAGGCTTTAATAAACTGGAAAGAGAGTAAAATACAATAAATAAAAGAACTTTATTTTGAATTGTTGTACATGCTATGGCTGTGGCTTGGAGACAAGTGCTGAGAGCCTGACCAGTGCCCAGAGCAGGGGTCCTGGCTATCGCTCTGGCTGGTTTTTCTCACTCTAGATACCTGGCTGGTGCAAACAGCTGGCAGAGGGGTTGGCCTTTTGCTGGTTGTTCATTCCCCCTGGGCTGAAAGGGAGCCAGGAGCTTCTCTTCTCCCTCCACCCTACACCACTGGTGCTCTCTAACCACTCCTGTGTCAAAGAGAGGGGCATGGTTTTCTTGCAAACACAATTTTTCTCAGTTTTACTTCACTTTTGCAACCACAGCAACAAGTATTAACCCAGAAACAAGACAGAAAGCTCTCCCAGAGTGTGCATTATTAAACCAGTGTCAGAGACCTACAGGAAATCCATGCTTATTATTTGCATAAAACCAAGCGAACTCATGGATGTGGGAAAACTGAAATGCTGGATAAGAAAGACATGGCTTACTCCATCATCCTGGAAAGTTGAACATGAATGTTTTTACTTACATGTCTATCTGCTATCCATCTATTTGTTTACTTATTTTGACAAAAGACACAAATAATGAGAAATGTATGCCTCTACCCAGAGCAGCTACCTCACCTTGAGTTCTCAGAGGTGACAAGGATGGGTATGGTTTGGGCAGACCTGTATATCCCAGAAAAATAAATGACAGCTGCCTGTGCTCATGTTTCCACTGCAGCAGGGGAGGATGTTAAATCCCAATCTTCAGCCTAAGGCAGCAACCTAAACCAGGGACCATCAAAGCTTAGGCATCCATGGGCAACTTCTGGAGTCACAGGAGTTTCATAGTGGATCACAGAGGAAGGATCCTTGATGAAATGCCTTGTAGTGTCAGTCTCAAACCAAGCACACAAAAAACCTGTGGCCAATGCAGGGCTCATCATCCCTTCATCTAGTCAAGATCTAGCTGCTGTTGAGGGATGTTGGTGTGTTTGTGTCATGGTGCCATTCCTCAGCTCTCCTCCAATGCCAAGGGAGGGAAATTAATTCCTGATAAGCCCAGATGTAAGATTTCTTGAGTCTTTGAGTAAGAACTTGGTGGTAGGAGTCTCCTACCAGGATGGATCTTCCCTCCTTCCGCTCCTCCAAAGCCAGCAGTTTCAGGTCTTAGATGCCACCAGTAGCTCCCTGGGTGCTTGGGTGATGGTTTACACCTTGACCCAGCAGAAGTGGGAAGAAATTTAAAATTTCTAGTGTTTCTTTTCTTAAAAAAAAAAAAAAAAAAAGTTTATGATTTTTAAGAAGGCACCTTACAGCTGATCCCAAATGGAAATGTTTGCATTTGATACTATCCATTAACTCTGTGACACCAAGGGAACGGCTCCTCCAGCTTCTCTTGTTGCAGTAAACAGAAGGAGCTGTCAGGAGCCACGTGCGGCCACTGCACCAAGCAGGGCGGGAGCCATGCTGGCAGAGATCCCTTCCGCAGAGGGGATTTCTGCACTGACAATTTTTGGCTCCTTTAGATTACTTTGGAGCTGCACAGAATTTGTAATGTTCTCCACTCGTGGAGGGGCTGACAGGGAACTTAAATACAGATTGCAAAGATAGATCATCTCCCAGCATCACTTTGTTTTCTACTGCTCTAAAATCATTTTACTTGTTCCTGCAGCTACTATAAAGCCAGAAGAGCTCTCTATATTTGCTTCCCGGATGCCTTTTTCTCCTCTGCTTACAACTATAAAAGCAGCTTTTCATGCTCCAAATCAGAGATAAATTGAAATCGCTGCTGAAGAAATAAAACACAAGGCTAATCAAATTGTAGCACAGGAAGCAGCCTTCAGCCAGTGCATTTTTGAGTGCTATTTTTAGAATATATTTTTATTTTGTCACTCCATATGGGAAGCCAAACCCATATGGTTTGGGAGAATGGAAGGTTGTGCTTTTATAGAGATCTCACAAACCATCCCTGCTCAGCCACGTACTGAAACATGTGCTTAAATCCAATTGTCTGCGATGGGACTGAAGCACATAAACTCCTTGTGACTGGGGCCTCGGGCCCTGTCTGAGGTTGTAACAGTATTATTCCCTCCTGAGATGTAGAACTATCCTATATTCGTTAAACCAGTCTCCAGTTAACTTGGCTCTTCTTAATTATGACATTTCTCATTCATATGCCTTCTTTTTTTTTTTTTTTTTTTCATTTCTTCATTTCTTCTTCATCATTTGGTCCAGTACCAGCCAGGATGCAAAACTGAACATCCATAGCCACTGCTCTTCTGCTTCTCACAGCAGATGTTTCTGTTCTGTAAATATCAAGATTAATATGGTGCTGGGCCATGTGACTGCATTCTGCCCACAATACTGTGTCACCTTCTGAGTATGCTGATGAAGCAATAATTGGCTAGCAAAGGTATTGTACTTCTGATAAATTAAATGTATAAAATTAGAAACATGTCCTCAGTGTTAATCCACCAGAATATCCATTTCACTTGTGTTTTAGGTTGTTCCATGAGACTTAACCAAAAGTTATGTTTCTTTTAAGGAACTTTGTGGGATGGTTAAAAACACTGACAGAAAGTTTTTAACCTGGTAAATTCCAGAGGATCATTTTATGAATATTTTCTATTGTTATCATGGAGTTTCTTCCCTGTGCAGTTCCTCAGAAGGTGAAATTCAAAAAAACAAATTTAAAACATATGTTATTTATTAGAATTTGAAAAACAAAATTTATCTGAGCCTGTGTTCCTTGTGGTCCCAACTCTATCACTGGCTGTGGTACTGAGTACCATTTTTACAAGCAAGTAGAGATGCCTCTAAAGAAGTAACACGTGATAACAGCCCTGGGGGGACTTGAGTTTTTCAGTCTTACGTCTTTCCTCGTCCCTAGAGGTGTGGGTAGCCAGATCATCCTGTCAGCTGCTGAATGCCCAAATCTATGATTAAAAATAATCTTTGAAACTCAAAGGGGTCCTGAGGTGCTCTGTAGGCAGACTTTCACTGCCTGGGCTCCCCCCAAGCTGGCAGGCAAGATGCAGGCAGGAGAAATGTAAATTGGGAAGGATTTTTTCCTGTGGTTCACCTTTGCTGTATGCACAGAAAGCCAAGCAGATCTGAGTGGCAGGCAAGAGGCAAAGTTAAATTGCATGTCAGTTAGTATGAAATGCTTAAATAACTATTTTAATATGTCTGAGATGATAACAGTCTTTGTCTACAGGTGATCTGCAAGACATAGCAAAATGCAGCTGGCTCCTTTTATATGTAGTATAATGAGCAGAGGCTCAGAAATTTGGGTGGTAAACCTATGAATTACACAGGTCCAGTGTGACAAACACCCTGCAGAACTGCTTTCTGACTAAAGAAGTCATTTTCTGTGTTACTTTTGATTCAAGAGTTGTATTTGGCCTCAAAGTGAAAGCAGAGCTAAATTAAGAGCAGGGCTTTAGTAGTTCATATTTTTATGCTTTTTTTTTTGTTTTTTTCTTTCCTTTAGGAAACACTTCTCCAACCCTTTTTTTGGGATACAGTGGGAATAGGACTGCACAGCAGAGAATTCAGTGTGGCAGAAGGATGGGAAGCATGAAGATTTCTGAGATAACTTGGATGTTGCTTGAATGCTCTTCCACCGAGCAGAAGAGATGTTATACTCAAATTATTCATCAAAACTGAGACCTCTTATTGATTATTTTATTGGAAAGTCAAGAAAATAACCACTGTGGTTTTTTTTTTTCCCATAAATATGAAGCAGAGATCTTGCGTAAGAGGAGACAATATTAAATCAACAAAATACCAGAAGAGTCTGAAAGGAAAAGCCTGAGGTTAGAGAGAAACTGTCAAAAGTTTTAAAAGAAGTGTTATTAACCCATATTTGTATTAAAAATCTATGATAATTTTGACTGTTATACAGTTCACTACTGTTAGATTATTTGCTGAAAGTAGCTTTATAGTCAGAAACCCCCTCATCATTTGTATCCTACTTCAAGAAATATATTCTATATCTCTTCGTTCTGAAATCCTTAAAGACAATAAAAATCACCTGGACTTATGATGCTTGGGTGTATTGGAATTAGATGCAAGTAGCTGGGTTTCCCCAGAAATGTTATTCTGGAATACTTGAATAACATAACTTTTGGACCAGATGCTTGGGCGATGTGTGTCACGTGGGAGCGGGAGCACTGTGAGGTGGGTACATGATGTCGCTGCATTTCCTGTACATCACTTAGCACAGCTGAACATCACGGCCTCGGTAATGCCATCCAAGAATTTGTCAGTGACTTCAGTGGAGCTGGAATTTCATCCCAGGGCAGGAGCAGCTGACAGAGAGTGCCACGGGCTGGTGACCCTGAGCAACTTCAAGTCAGTGATGTAGAAGTGCAAAAAAATACCTTGTCACATAACTTATCGGCAACCCAGGGTACCCAAATTTCAGTTTAGATTTTCTACCAAGTTTCCATTCATGTTGCAACTATGTAGATAAGATATTAAGGCATTATTCTTAAAAAAAAGTAAAGAATTAATTTCTTTAAGAGATGGGAGATTTGTAGAAGACATTTATGTAATTTTACATTCTAAATGTGATTTATATTTATAAATAAATTTGCATAAAATCTCCAGCTCTCAATGTCATAGTTCTATTTTATCTTTAATTCAGATGCTCAAGAAATGTAAATTATTTTTACAGCTAAATAAAAGCTATACAAAGCTGCCAGGAAAGAATAATGAGATACACATTGTGCCATGCAGCCATGATAAATCCAGCAGCACCATGGTTACAGTCAAAATGTGAGGCCATCAGCAACTAGGCAATATCAGCACATATAGATTCCTCTGACCAGATTTAACAAACCAGTCTTAACTAGGGAAGCTCATGAGACTAGTCAGCACGAGGAAATATTTACCTGAAAGATAGACAGGCACCTAAAATGAGGAGGAAGAGTTGGTTTGTATGGCAAGGGTTTATTATAGATTAAAAACATCAGCTGTAGTTGGGCCAGGCTCTGCATATGTGCTTTGCAGAAATAAAGATATCAGCATTCCTGTAACATGACAAGGTTTGCAAATTATTGGTGGGTTTCCTAACAATAGGATGAATTTATGAAACGCAGCTTGGTCATGAGGATGGCACCCGTGAGAAGGTATATTTTCACTCTCTTAGTCATTGTGGTAAAAGGCTCCAGTGCCATGGCTATGGATTGACTAATAGATTAAGAAATGGGTTTCCCTCATTAGAAATTAACTCAAACATGAGGAGATAATTATACCAAATGAGGGTGTAAAGAGCCTCAGCTGATGGTAGTCAAAGGGAAAGTAAATAAAAGGTGCACCAAGTCCACCTGCCTCTCTCCTGGTGAGGTGGCTTAAGGGATAACTTGCCAGGATTTTCAAGAGGACAAACCTTGCTTTTTAGAGTTTTCTGTGACTGATGCAGGTAGGTCTCATTGTTCTCTGCTTTTGTGTTGTCTCTATGTTTTCCGATAATGCTTGTTTGTTTGGTGCTGGAAGTGTCTTAACCCACCCTTCTCTTCAAAGTTTACATAAAACTAACTAAAGCTGACATGGGCAGCACCGTTGGTTTGCTGCTGTCCCCTGTTTACTCAATTGCAGTGGTCTTGTTTTAATTAAACTCAGTATGGAGGTCAAACAGCTCCAAGAGTGGCTTCCCAGGATCTAGGTGACTGCTCCAAGGCTCTTTGCAAGAGGAGGTACACAGAAGACCAGGCAGTGATAAGGGGTGCATTCAATGTTTTCTGGGTGACTAACCATGTAGGATGTTTAGAGGAAGCAGCTGCTTCTTCTGTACTGCTTAAATTTTGAAGAATCTGTTTGCTCTAGAGCTGTCACTACCAAACTTTATTTTGTGGCTAAGCGTATGGAGTGTATAGCAAGCCTTGTGTTTTTTGATCTGTTGCTTTTCTCCTTTGGGTTTCCTTTCCCAGACAAAAGAGAAGCAAAAATTTTGTGGTATGTTTTATTCTGCCACCAGACAGGACACTGCACAATGCTGAGCACCTCACCAGGAAGGTGCTGAGCCTTTTAAGCTCTGTGGGTTTAAGGGCCGCTGGTCCTCAGCATCCTGAAGAACTGAACCCTGTGATGCTCAGTTTTCCTCAGCATGTGGACAACAGTTTGCTGTGAATAGGGACAGCCTAAAACTTGCATCAAAAGAAATGCTTTGTTTTGCTGAATTGGGGCAGTGAATGCAAGTGCATCTCGGGGAGTGTGGACAGGCCTGTTGACTCCTAAGGACCACTCATGTGCCTTAATTGAGTATGTGTATGAATGCTTAGCTGGTTGGGATCAGCATAAACATCCTTGAATGTCAAGCTCTCTTCTGTGTCTATTTTGTAAAGCTAATGACCACCAGGCATTAAAAACCTGGTTCTAGTCTTTGGAGATGCTGAGGCATCTTATTTCATATTTTTAAAGGTGAATGCCTTCACCTTAAAATAAAATGTCTTTATTTCAGAGACATTGGAGCATAGAAAAATGGAGAGCTGTAAACTTAATGCCCTTGGAAGTTTAAGATTTTTTTTTTTAAATGTCCGTAACTCTAAAAAGGAACCAAATAATGCTGCTTAGAAACACTTAAAAACAACAAAAAAAATCTTGCTCAGCAGACAGCTCTCGTGACAAGCTTCTGCCCAGAGTGAATTTTTATGCTTGAGTTATAAACCCTTGAAAAATGGGGATCCTAATGCAAAAGCTGACACAGCTTTAACTAAAGCAGCTCTAGTAAGTGCTGCTATAATTATTTGCTCATTAATTACAAATTTTGCAAGACAGAGAGTAACACAAATTGGAAAATAGGAATAATTATCAGTAATAATGCCACAGAAGCTGGACACATTGAAAGTGTCTTCCTCTTTAAATTTAATAATAGCAAGACAGCTAGGAAACTAATAAGAAATACATAATTGAAAATTAACCTTGCAAATCTGCTGTTAATAAACCATGGTACTCTTGCATTACAATAATTTTATAGAGCCCTTAATTTGCATTTCAAGTGTTATTCCAGGTAATACTCTGTGAGTTCACAACAATTAATATGTCTTTGAATTAAAACAGAAATGAGAAGGTAGGCTTTAGTATAGCTGAATGTTACAGAATAGTATATACTGTATTTTTTTAGTAGCTCAGAGTTCAAATGATTGGAAACTAAAAGTACAATGGTGATTTTTATGCTGGCTGTTATGCCTGAATGCTGTTTTGTTATTGTTGAATTCAAGTATTGTAGTGTTTCTTGCTTTCATCCTTAGCTCGTGTAAATATACCAGTTGGGCTGTTGGATTGCTTGCACTTCCTCATCTTCTGATGTGCGAGGCTTGATTACTTGGGGATGCTTGAAAACAACCACTATGTTGGTAACAGGTAGTAAATGGTCCTTGAAATACTCTGCTGTAGTGCATGCTTTTACCACTGTGTTTGAATAGTTTTACTGGATCTAATGGGGGCAGGCTGCTGGTGGCATTGGGGTTTGCTGGGGGGGGTAAGTCAGTGTAGCCTGGGCATTATGGAAAGGTGCTGCTTTGTTGCAGGCTGGCACTGTCTGCTGAGGTCTGACTGTGGTTCTTCATTCAAAGGGAAATGTTGCTTCCTTATGGATGTTTTATATCTGTTGCCAATCAACAGAAGCATATAAAAATCTGTTAAATCAATCAGTTTGCAAGTAAGGATGAAGAGAATTGTTTATTCAAAACTCAGAGTCAACTGCTCTTGCTAAATATCTCCCACTCATAACATAAACCTGATGCATATTGCTGCCTGCTCCTTGCATTCAGTCACAGAAAACTTGCACATTTGTAACCAAGAAGTGTTTAATCATTTTGGAGCTCATATCTACTGAGCTCTGAGTGCTCAGCTAAAAAAGAGGATGGATGGTAACAAAGAGGAATGCCACTGGCTGCAGGCTTGTACTTATATCACAATGTTAATGGCAGCAGAGGTATGTACAGGGTTTCAAAGTTGTGTATGGCCAAACAGCTTAAATAAAAAAAAAAATAACCTAGAGACCTACAGTGTTTGGCATAAGAAAGGAGGAACACTGTACACAAACAATTGAGTTAAGAGTGTGCACTCCAAACAGTATTTCTGCACAATTCCAAACTCCATCAAGGGCTGCATGTAAAATGTTGGCTTCTTTGTGCAAACCCACAAATCCTAGGGAAAAGGCCATTAGGGGTCAGCAATTCAGCTGTTTGTCTGCTCACTTTATGTAAGAGGTTAGCAGCAGTATGCTTTTTGTCCAAAGCCAGCAATAGCAGGAACAGCTTGTTTTTGAAAGGTCTGTGGTTCCCCTAGTAGTGACAGAAGAAGGGGTCCTGAAATAAACCTCAAATGTGGATAGGCTTTGATTTGACCTTTTGCCCACTTATTTGGCTATAAGTGTATGCTTAGCACAGCATTTGACTCCTGTCACTCCCTTCCCCAGCAACTTCTATAGCTCAAGCACCACCAGCACAGATATTTTTCCTCCATTTCAGTATGTTTCAGGGAATTTGGAAAACATTGTGATGTGGGACAATAAGGTGTTTTGGTTGCTCAAGATTTTCCTCCAGGGGAGCTCAGGATGTTCTATGGAAAAGCAAATCTCCTATCACCTCACAGCCTCTGAGTGAAGCCCCCAACAGAATTACAGATCTCAGTGGCTTCAGCCCATGGGAGGATAGGATGGTGACGTCCTCCTCTAACTGCCTTTTGTATTTTTTAATATGTAAACTGATTTCAAAAATGAAAAACTACTTTAGAGTCTCTTCTGCTTTGGGGGCAAACAATGGAAAACTCTCAAAGCAGTGGAGTAGACCTTATTTGTGTGAACTCAGTGTGGCCATGCCTGACTCTAGACTTGCTGATGTGAGGAGAACTTCACTTGATCCATGAAGCTTTGTTTTGGAAATAGAGCAGAGTGAGGATGGGTGTTCTCAGCTTAACCCTGGTCAGGGTGTAACCATTGCATTTGTGAATGGAAGAATTAATGACAGAGAGTTAAGAGATGGCCCAGTGGAGGACTACTGAAGACTGGTTAGATGCAGCCTCCCTTCCATGCTTGTCTGTAGACCCTGTTGGCCATTACCCAAAAGACCAGAGCAAGTTTTGGGGCTATGCTGGATTTCCTGTGGGAGCTCAGAAGCTCAGCCAGCCTCCCAACCTGACAAGCACTAAGCAGAGGTACATCGTAGGTAGAGAAACCCTTGAGAGCTGAATGGATGAAGAGGAGCTGGGAGCGGACAGTCACTCCCCCAACCTTGAGAAAAAGGAGATGGAAAATACCTTCTCCTCTGTGAAAAACAGGAGCTGTGGGAGAAATGTGCCCCATGATGCTCCTGAGGCAGCCTCTGCTAGTGATTCCCAATCAACATTCTGTTTATCACTGCTTTCTCAAGGAAAGACATAAAGGAAAAACTTAGCCAAAAGGAAGCTATTTTTAGAAGATGAAGAGATGATTTTTTTTTTCCTAACCATTCTGCTGTTATTTATGTTGCATAGTTCTTGAGTTATTTATTTCAGAGGGAGTTGATGCAAAGTGGGATGGT